TTTAATTCTATTTGTTTTATTTATCTTGAATTTTGTAATGGAAAAGTTCCATTCAATCAAAATTGTTTGCAATATTTACAATTGATTAATAATAATGAAATTATTAATCCTTTATTTGGAAATTTCTTACCTATTGTTTTTGGTTTAGGAATTAAGGAGACATTACCTTTACAAAATCCTTATGAATTTAATTTACCAGAAATTATATTAAACAACAGCCTTCAAATTAATAATAATAAGAGAAATTTTGATAAAATGAATAATAATCAACATATTGAAAAGGTTAAATGGTTTCATTTGCTTGAAAACATATATAATCATATTTATATAAATAATTCTGAAATTAAGGCAAATTTTAAAAAGAAATTTGAGGAACTTTGGGAAAGAATTATTTTATTAGAAACTTCAGAAATAAAATTATTTTCAAATACTAATCAATATGCTAGATATTCAAAAAAGCTTAAACAATAATTATTATTTAATTAAATATATAATTATGAATATTAATAGGTATTTATATTTACAAATATTATTAATTTTTATATTTTAATTATTACTAATAATTAATTAAATAGATAGGCATATAATATTGATCAAATCTGATTAAAATTAAAAGGTATAAATTATTTTAAATAATTCAATAATTTAATTATTTTTAATATATTTAATAATTAAATAAATTGGCATAATATATTGGCGATAATTTGAATAAATATTAATAAGCAATTAGTATATCATATTGGCAAATATTAGATAAAATTTAAGTATAGTAATTAAGCATGTTTTATTTTAATACAATTAAGCTTTTATTTATGTAATTAAGTTATTAAGTTTCAAAATAAAATTCTAAGCATTTTTAAGAAGCAAATCAATATTATAATTATATAAATATAAATTAAACTATTAATTTTAATTAATTTTTTTTATCTTTTTTTATTATTTAATAAATTTATAAAAAATAAAAAATAAATACATCAATATTTTTAAGTATTACATTTTTTAAAACTAAAATAAAAAGATAATTATTATGTTTTCACTTCTTTTATTATTTTTTCAATTTGATCATATAACTTAAAGAATTTTGACATAATAATAATTATTATTATATAATATAATAATTATAGATATCTTTATTGTAACTATATAAATAATAATAATATTTATAGAAAGTAGAAAAAAGTAGTAATTATATATGAAGATTTCTAAAAAAATCAAATTTAAGAATTTTTTGAATAAATTTAATTTTTATTGGTGTAATTTAATTTAATATGGAAGCTTTGTAATAGAAAGGAAAGAAATTCTAAAAAATTAAAATTTTACTTTCTAAACTAATTATGATTTTTTTTATAAAATAAAGTCCAGATTTAACATTAACTCAAAAAAAAATTTTTTTAGAGTTTTTTCCCTTTCTATTGCAAAGCTTCTATATTATCATAATTAAAATGCAATTTTATTAAAAATTCTTAGAATTTAATTACCTAAACCTATTTATATATATTTTTAACTTTTATATTAGTAAAATAATTAGATTTTATACATAATAATTATAATAAAAAGTAATTATATAAAAGAGATTATATTAAATTTTAGTTTTAAAAAATGTGATTAAAATTATTATCTTTGAATTTAAATCTCTAATTTTATTAATTTTACTAAGATTTTAATATAATTTCATTATTTATAAGCTTTAATATAATTTTACATTTTTTTAAATTTCTCAGATTCTTATATTTTAAAAAATTTAATTTTCTTTTTGTAATTTATTTTTCATTTTTATAAAATTAGATTTTTAATCATATAAAAACAAAATATATATAATCTTTTATATTTAAAAAATAATTAATTTTGTAAAATATAAAATTTATTATGATATATTTTTTAAAATAAAATTTGAACTTTTAAAAAAGTTATGTTTCAATAACATATTTAATACAAGTAAAGTAATGAAACTTTGAGTAAAGTTTCAAATTTGAGCTAATATTAAAAGACACTAAAGGTTTTCTAAATGCTTTTTTTTAAAAAAAAATGATTGATTTAATAATTAGATTATTAATCTAGACTTGTTCTAAGAATGTAAATTTCATATGTATTTTATATTTTGATCACAAAATGATATAATTTAAAAAAAATTTTGATAATATAATATAAAAAAAAATTTTTTTTGTTTAATATTTCAAATATAATAAATTGGATTTAAACTTTTATTATAATACAATACTTTATTATAATATTTACTAATATAAATGCATATATAATTTATATATTAAAATAAAATATAAAAACAAAAAAAAATTTTCTTTTATTATATAAATTTTTAAAACAAATATAATTTTTTTAGATATAAATCTATGTAGAATTATAATCATTTTTTATGTGACTATTAGTAGGGTTTCTCAAAATTGAATCGAATTAAATATTTAAGCAATTTGAATTTGATTTGATTTTTTCAAATTGAATTGAATTGAATTGAATTGAACTCAAATATTTGATCAAATCAATTTGAATCGATTTGAATTTGATCGAATCAAATCAAATTGAATCAAATATTTGGTTGAATCAAATTGAATCAAATCAAATATAAATTTTTTTTAATTTTTACAATGATATATTAAAATAAAGTTATTCTAAAGTTTTAATTATGAAAATTATTATTAATTGCACTAAAAAATTTCAAAGATAGTTTTTACAAAATAAGTTTAGTAACAGGTGAATTTTTACTATTAAACTTAGTAAAATAACTCTGCAGTTTTAGTTTTACTCAGAAAACTTAGTAATAACCACTATCGCGGTTTTGTTTACTAAGAATACTTAGTAATAACCGCTATTGCGACTTCAGTTTACTAAGAAAACTTAGTAATAACCGCCATCACAGCTTTTATTTTACTAAGAAAACTTAGTAATAACCATCATTGCGACTTCAGTTTACTAAGAAAATTTAGTAATAACTGCCATCACAGCTTCAGTTTTACTAAGAAAACTTAGTATCTTAACTTCATAACAAATTTATTAGTAACGTCTCTGAAGCTGCAGAGGCATTTTTTACTATATTTTCTTAGCAAAATAGCGTCTCCAAAGCTGCAGAGGCATTTTTTACTATCTTTTCTTAGTAAAAGAATGTCTCTAAAGTCACGAAAGCAGTTTTTACTATGATTTTCTTAGTAAAAAAGGTATTTACAAAGCTGCGAAGACACTTTTAGTATGGTTTTCTTAGTAAAAAAAGCATTTCCAAAGTTGCAGTGACACTTTTTACTATAGTTTTTTTAATAAAAGCCACTCCTGAAGCTTTAGAGATGGCTTTACTATTGATTTAAATCAAATCAAATATTTGAATACTTGCTTTGAATTTAATCAAATTGAATAAAACATTAATTTGAATTTGATCAAATAAATCATTCTTTGATTTGAATTTGATTGAATCAAATATTCAAATATCAAATTGAATTGCAGAATCCTAGTATTAGCATATATTAAATAAATTCTAAATAACTTCTATGATTTGCATGATATTTACTTTATTAGAACTAATAAGATTATCTAATATTAATTCATCGGATGAGAGTTTACTGTAACCATATTGAGTATCTTTATTATTTTTCCAATAAATTTTTTCACCTATTTGATATGAAGATAATTTTAGAGTGTCTTTACTATCAATAAACTTACTAGATAATAATATTTACGATTCTTATCTATAGACTTAAATTTTAACCCATAGGTTACATGTAGTACTGAATTCAGTAAACTAAGTTTTGTCCAATCTGTTTTTAAACCTGATTTTTTAGTACTACTCGATGCCTCTATATTATCAAATACTCAAGTCATTTTGGAAACTAAATTATATAGATATGGTATTGATTCAGGAATACTCAAGCATCTTTTTACATCATCAGTTTTATATTTTATCCTATCATCGATATCTTTAACAGGTGTATAAATTTTTAGTAATTCTAGGGAAATTTAATGCTTTTCAGCATAAATAATAATTGTAAACTTATCTTCTCTATAATTTTTACAGGTGATAGCTTCAATGGCAGTTTCATTATTTATACTTGTATCTCATATTTGTCTATAAGCTCTAAACTATCTTATATGTTTATAATTCCTATACTTCGAGATAAAGGTTTTCAGTCAATAATTCAGACGAAATCTTATAACAGTTTGCAATGTGATGTCAGTTTAAAGAGCATATCTCTTTTAAAGTTTTCTTCAGCTTGTTTTCCAAAAATTTAGTAGTCTCACAATTAAGAATATTAGCATTGGCTATATCTGAAATCTCCCCTGCTTTAATGATAAAGAAATTCACCTTTATGGCTTGAGATAATGATACAATATTTTCATTAGACTTAGAAATAGGTTCTATGATGAAAATTATCATATCCACTTTTCTGAAAAAATTGATCATTCTCTAACCAAATAATCATTAAGAACAGAATTTCTCTAATATGAATACTACACATAATCAAATAGTTAATACATTCTTATTTCAGATAATAGAATCAATATCTGAAAATATTTCTCTATTCTGAAGTTCTTAGGAGAGACATTTACATTTAGCATTTAATAACCACTGAAATAACTCCATTTCTATAATAGAAATGTTAGAAGATCTCTGCTCAATATAACATATATAATTCTTAATACATCACATGCAAAATAGCATCTGATTTGTTCTAGTATTTGTTTTTATGAAGCTATTAAAAAGACAGAATACCTGCTCAAACTTTGGATTAGTATATGATACTCCTATTTATAGAGTATTAGTATATGCAACTAGATCTACATCTATTCATATTTCTTTTACATTACTGAAGCCATAGGCCTTCTTTACTGAATCAGATTTATTATGATATTTCTTGATCCTTAACTCTGAAAAATTAGTCGTAAAGACATGAACTATTCCTTGTACATTTTTTTCTGAGGTAACAGATAAGTGATGCACTTTTCTGATTCTCAAAAGGTAATAAAGATATTTACTTAGCCCAATCCTAAAGATCAGCTAATACTGTTTCTTTATTAGAAGCCAAGTGGAATGTTTTACTATTCTGAAACTGATAAGTATTATTTTTTTATCATTTCTATAAAATGATGATTTATCATTTTATCAGAATGAAACTTCTATTGTTCTTTTAGAACTATATATATTGTTTTATCTAAACAATTTTTTTATACTTTCTTTAAAAAAATTTGTTAAATTTTTTAGCTTAACTTTGTGCTCAAGTTTTGCTTGACTTTGGGCTTGACTTTGTACTTAATTTTTCTCAACTTTAGGCTTGAGTTTAGCTTAAATTATCTTGAGTCAAGTCAAGCTTAACTTGAAACTCAACCCAAGTTAAATGAGTCAATTTTTTTATGATTTGACTCAACTCAACTCATTTGACTTAAAAGTTGGCTCAGCTCATTCAGAACTCTACTTACCGTATTCCTCTGAAAATAGGTATTTCCCAAAAATAAGCACTATTTAATATTTTTAGTATCTGAAAATAAGCACTATTACATTATTTAGTATCTGATAATAAAATAAATGCTAAAACAAACTGATTTGTTAAATATATTATAAAATTCAATTGTTTTTTATTTATTATATTTAAAAGAATTCAATATTTCTTTTATCATTATTAACGATTACCATCACTGCTACGATTATCATCATTGCTATTATTATTATTACCACTAATATCACCATCAATGCTATTACCTTTATCAATATCACTGCTTTCAACGTCTATAATATCTAAAATTTTATATTTCATCTTATTTGCACTCTTATCATCAATCTCATCTGCACTTTCATCTGATCCATCTAAAGAATTTGAAATCCCACAAATTTTAAAGGATTTAATGATAATTTTGTCTGAAATTGCATCCCAAGAACATTTGACTTACATGCAAATATCACTCAATCTCGCTTTACAGAGATTTCCTGTAGCAGTTATTTCAGCATCACCTCTAGCCATCCAGTTATGCCATTTTTTTTGTAAATTTTCTTTAAATGGTTTATTAATCGCAACATCAAGTGGTTGGCAAATGCTGGTCAATCCACCTAGAATTACTGCTAAATTATATCTACTTTTGCAAAACTTTATTTTAACGGATTCTTCTATATGATCCCTAAATAAATCATATACTAACATTACTGGAGTATTATTAGTTCTTGTATTTTTAAGATAGTGTAAACGGATCTACAAAGTAATCTGCAAAAATCGATCTACAAAAGGGATTTGCAGAATTGATCAACAGAATGATTTACAAGATTGATCTACAAATTG